TGATTTCCAAAAGGTAGATTTGTCATTTTGTTCATCAAACAAACTTCACATTGCACGTAACCCTCGCCTAACGTGATAGGTAATCCATCTACAACCCTATGCCTGCACATTTCATTTAGTTTCTTAAAGTTAGGATGCCCAAGTATTCTATGCCATTTTTCTTTTTCTGACATAATGTTACCACTTGTGTATGCTACTGTACCTGCACCTAAAGTAACTCTACCATCTAATTCGTACAATTTATTTTTCTTGCGTGCGACGGCCATTAAACCTATATGTACATTATATATATTTGCTATTTCTCCTCTAAATTGAATTGTATTATTTCTATTTACAATGCATGAAACGCTTAATAAGTTCTTTTTCATGTTTGGTACATAATATACATTCGAAACATCAATTTTATTTAACTTACCTCCTGCTTTACAGTACATTGTTACATTTCCTATTTTCTCCGACTTAAGACAAAATCCATCACCTACCTTAATATTTACAGGTGTTTCTAAAATTTTATAATCACGAAAGAATTTATCGTCATTTACGATGTGATCGCTACATCCGCTGTCCAATAACCATGTTATATCCGCTTTCGTTTCGGTAGCTCCTGTCATCGCTTCTACTTCTACGTTGAATCCAAATCCATCACTGGTGCTGCTACTTTGTCCTGTATTCACGCTTCTATTGTTGTATCCTCCTCTATATCCTCTGTGAGTTCCTCGTCGTCCGCCTCCATATCCGCGTCCTCTACCACGACCATGACCACGACGTGCTAACTTAGGACAATCCCTCCTGTAGCGTCCTAGGCGGTTGCATTCAAAGCAGTTATCATTATTCCTGGATCCATCTTGGTGTTGATTTGATCGAGAACTGAACGTATGAGCTTCTTGTTCGCTCTGTTTTCTTTTCATTTCAAGTAGTAATTTGGACTTCACGTACTCCACTGTCCGATCCTTTGTCGGCATCGCATCAACAATATTTACAATATGTGCAAAACTCTCAGGTAATGCAAGCAATAAATAGTTCAGTCTATCCTCTTCCGACACGACTTCTCCAGCATTTTTCAATTCATTGATTTGTTTTTCAAATGTTTGTATGAATTCTAGTATATCGTCGCCATCTTTGAATTTTGTTTCTAGTACTTTCCTTTTAATTAATAATTTATTAGCACTGCCTTTTACTAAATACATCTCGTCAAATTTTTTAATGATCCCGTAAGCCGTACTTTCATTCATTATTATATCGAGCTGAGTATTATTTACGCTATTCACTATAATATTTCTAGCCTTTAAATCAATTTTTCTCCATTCTGTGTCTGTCATACCTTCATGTTTTATATCATTTTCCACAGCTTCTTGGCATTCCTTCATTTGTAACAACAACTTTAATCTAAATTTCCATTTTACGTAATTTGCACCATCAAATATCTGAATGCCTACTTCTCCTATCTTTACTTCCATTTTCGGTACCTTACGTCTTCAATTGTTTCGGTACTGACCTTTTCAAATAATTTCCACTTATCTTCCTCTTTCTATTTATTTTATTCAACCACGCTCCTTTGCTACCATGTTGAGGAAGTGGATCGTAGAAAGGAAAGACAATCAGCTCGTAATATTTAGTTTATGTAGTCCCAATCACATTACATTTTATTATAGGTATAGACCGTTGACGTATTTAGCAAAGTCCTAGAATGAAGTAACGGTGACATAGAGAACAGGCCATCGAGTCGCGCTAACAAGAAGGTTTTACATAAAATCATAACTTCAACAGTCGGAAGCAGAAAGAGAAGGATTCTCATGACGCAATAAAAAAAATACTTTAACAGTCTTGTCGAAAAATACAAAGGCATCGATCCAGATGCCAATAGGGATACAGTGGTTAAGAATATCAATAATCTTAGAACTACCTATAAAAAAACTGAATAAAATTTCAAGTGTGTCATAATCTCCACAGTCTGAAATCACTACGATATATCGTTACGTGACGGATTGAAGAGACGCAAAGGGTACGGGTACGGCCAGAGTGCACTCAGATTCAGATTCAGAATCAGATTCCGAAAACAAGCGCGAGAAATAAACAGTGAAGTCGAAGGGTACGGCCAGAGTGCACTCCTGATTCAGATTCAGATTCAGACTCAGAAAACAAAGCGTAAGAAAAAGCAGGCAACCTGCTTAGACTACACTGTTTATTTCTCGCGCTTGTTTTCGAAATCTGAATCTGAAAACAAGCGCGAGAAATAAACAGTGTAGTCGAAGGGTACGTCCAGATTGCACTCCTGATTCAGATTCAGATTCAGACTCAGAAAACAAAGCGCGAGAAAAAGCAGGCAACCGCTTGTTTTCTGAGTCTGAATCTGAATCAGGAGTGCACTCTGGCCGTACCCTTCAACTACACTGTTTATTTCTCGCGCTTGTTTTTTGAGTCTGCATCTGAATCTGAGTGCACTCTGGCCGTACCCAAATACCAGACACAGCTTTAGTTAGAAGTTAGAAATTAATCTATGGTTGGTCGGGCCGTTCTTTCATAGGAGGGTAGACTATAGAATGATTGGCGCAAGATTGGCGCCATAAGCGGAATTCTACATTTGTTTGTCTGTAGTAAATTAATTACTAGTTTTCAATAGGCTAGTTGACTCATGTCGAATTGTATTAAATAAATGTTTATTTCTTAAAGTATTTTGTCTAAGGAACCTAAATATATTGATTTCACTTCATAAAAGCAGAAGATTGCTGTAGAAATTTAATTTAAAAAAACAATTTTTAGTCTATACTTTTTAAACACTAAAAACGCTGTTCGCCACATCCGCCATGATTGTGACGTCTGTTTTAGTAAACAACTAAATGTCATTCATACATAACTTGAAAAACTTGTATTATTAAAACTGATAATAAATGAAGAGACTTAAAATATCATTTTACATCAAAGTGATCTTCGCAAAAATAAATTTTACTATGAGTCGTTAAAGTTGCAGGATCCCTTTTAGCAAGTTCTAACCAGATAATGGTGTCGATTCTAGCATGATTCTCTAAACCTAAACTTAAATTTGACAGCAGTATATCCTTGTCATTCTCTATGCAGAATGAAAAAGAGAGACTGATGTTAAATTTAGTTTTAAGATTAGAGAATCACGCCAGAATTGGCACCATTGCGTAGGTTAATTTCTTTCGGCACTTTGATCCACAACTTTCCTGGAGTCTTCAAAGATTTTTTTTTTACATTCTCGTACAATACAATAAAAATAATTACTATATTTTTCGTGGTATCTATTAGAAATCATGTTTTCTTTTTATTATAAACTCAGATGGGTTATTTTCTACGTGCTTACGAGTTTTTGTTTACTACTGTCAACGTCATAGCATAGATAATCTATAGACTAAAATGGCCGGCAGCGTTTTTGTATGTCCATGAAAAAATTAAAGATTTGTAGCTTTCTAGGTCTCAAAAAAATAAAATACATTTTTTTCGGTCTAATAGAACATTTATTAACCATTTAAAACCTTTTTCTACAATATTACCTATTTACAATGTCAATCTAACGTAAAAATGTGCAATGTAAACAATGCCTTTTTTGATCTCAGAATCGTAAATTGAGTAAATTTGTAACTTCAGACAGATTACAAACAAATAGTTACACGTCATACATGCTGTGCGCCCATAAACATCATCCAAATCCCACAAAATTCGTCCAGCTTGGTAGTCTTCGAAACATCGCTGGAAAACTTTAAAAATCACTTCCCGCGTGCCACTCCGATTTACTTTACTCAGTTTTATACCTTTCTGCGTAGTTTCGTCTTAATTTATTACAGTTTAATCCAAACAATAAAAAATACAAAAGGAAAACTGTTTCACAACTGGAACTCGATGACAGCTGATGTACATAAGTTTGGTGTTGCCAGACACATGAATAATGTTAGTTCCTCAAACATTCATGTCACGAATTTATAGACAAACTGTACACAGTAGGAACTTGAAATGGCGACAGGCCGCAAATAGGCATTTCAATGAGTTCATTTTATAATATTGCCGTATTAGTTCAGGCAAATATAATGTTGTCTCTTTTCGCGTTGTGTATTGTAGGTTACTTAAAATGAGATGGCTATAAGTTTATGAGTACAATGTCGATATCAATCATATTTGTTGTAGCAGATTGTTCCTATAGAATACTATGCTATCTCCATAGGGTGCGGCCAGAGTGCACTCAGATTCAAATTCAGATTCAGATTCTGAAAACAAGCGCGAGAAATAAACAGTGTAGTCTAAGCAGGTTGCCTGCTTTTTCTCGCGCTTTGTTTTCTGAGTCTGAATCTGAATCAGGAGTACACTCTGGCCGTACCCTTCGACTACACTGTTTATTTCTCGCGCTTGTTTTCAGAATCTGAATCTGAATCTGAGTGCACTCTGGCCGCACCCATAGGTTTAAGTACTTAGAGTTCTGATTTTTTTTAATTCTATTCATCTCTATTGAGAAAGGCAAAGGCATAGCCATGCAGCCATCGTCTTATTTTTGTATTAATCTTCCTTTTTTTTACATTAGAATGTGGGTGTGACGCATTCTAATGCTTCTTGGAGTGTTTGGCACGAAATATATAGAGTTGGCTTTTTCGATAAGCTTCTGTGAGGTAGTCAATACTACAATAAAATTCTCACGTCCACTTGACCGGAATAGCGTATATTTTAAAGATTCCACTAATTCTTCAGTTGCGCAGACGGTTGTAACACAAAATCACACCAATTTTATTTCACAATATCCACTATGAACAAATTTAAGAATAATTAAAATAAGATGCGACTGCGGTTGGGCAGTCGATGAAATCCCGCAAAAACTCCTTAGAGTCTTGAACGCACTAAATTTGACATTAGGTGTGTCGGTATTAGCTGTCATTTTTTGACAGAGAGTTCGACAGTCTCGCTCTCGTTAAAATTTTATTACACCCTAAAATTTTGGTTCCAGTGTATTAATTTACTCTATGTTTTGGTTTAAGGATCTTGTTTAAGTTTTTATCATGGGGGAAATTACATTTCAAACAGAAGCATATGCAAAAATGATACTGCACGCTGCCAAATATCCTCATTGTGCTGTCAATGGAATCCTTTTTGCAGACGCCACCAAAATCAAAGAAGGAGCTAAAAATCAAGAGTTGGACATAGTGGACTCCTATCCTTTATTTCACCATAGCCACTATGTTTCACCAATGGCAGAAGTGGCTTTGACTCTGGTAACAAAATTGCTCAAGTAATTGTTAGTCCAAAGCTCCTAATTTAGGACTACTAAACCCTCACTTTTTTATTTTTCCTAGATTGAAACTATGGCGCAAGCCGAGAATTGTATTGTAGCTGGCTACTATGCTGCATGTGAGAACTTCCGAGATAATACTGTAGATAAATGTCCTGGACAGAAAATCGCTGAAAAGATAGCAGAATATTTTCCATCAGCTGTGTTTATTGTGGTTAGTTATCTGATCTTTCGTTTATGAACTTTATTTGCTAGACATAAGCTCATTAGTTACGGGTTTGAATGTCAAAAATTATAGCACAAGTATTTTCTAGATTGGCCGTAATCAATTTATAAATTTTTCATATAGAAATTCTTACATATATAAAATACAGTTACTTATATTTTTGATAGAAATATTTTATGCTATTTCAGACCATTTCCATTTTTTGTAAATAATATCATCTATAAAATTAGTTAGTATATGTATTAAATGCATAATGTTATATATTATTATTAGATAACATTATGCATACAATACATATACATCTTTAATTGTTTAATGTTTTATATTAACATAACAATAATAAATACACAAAGTTTCAACTTAAACAAAAAAGTTATTGTAATTTTTGCAGGTGGATAACAAGAGAATAATACGACATCTTGACTCACCTGCTATAAAACTGCACAAGTATAGTGAGGGTAAATGGAAGCTAAAAGAATTCAATACTAACCAACTGTTTCGTAAGTATTAACACATACAAGTGAACTATCCATATACTGTACCGCTCCATGATGGGTTAGACGAGAAAAAATATTTTATCCTGCTTTTTGTTGGGGAAGTATCTTATTAGACAATAATTAATTTGACATAAGATATTTTAAGGAAAAATCCTTCAGAAACCAGCAACTTATTTATTCAACTCCAGCCCTTTCTCTCTTCAGTTTTTTATCGCATCTAACTCCATAGTAATTTGACACTTAAGCATGATAAAACAAGTAATTTATCATATCCCAGTGCTCATGCTAGGTGGGTTGATTAGTAGTTCTTATAATAATAATAACAGATGACACACTAAGTAAACCTGCCTATTTGGGTATGGAGTTGTTTACATGTATATATATATCTCTTCTATTATATACATATATCCATGTTTAATACCAACTTTCTAGTGCTAGAGACTGAGCTAATCAACAAACAAACTTAGGAAAGCTTCCTTATTAACTATGAAACAAACAAAACTATTAATAATTTATCAAATTAACTGCTATGGAATGGAATTCCCTTCCTGTATCATTATTATGCGATACATATTATATAGGGATATTCAAGGCAAGACTAAAAAGGCATTATCTGAGTCTGCATGCTTCAGCGTAGTTGTTACCACACCTTTGCTTTACATTAGGTGTGATTGTGATCAAAGGCACTCAAATTTTATATATAAAAAAAAAATAGGCAGACATTGGTGTCATTATGACATGATTTTTTAAACCCTAAAATTAAATTAGACAAATGAAAAGGAGACTGATGTGAGATTTAGTTTAAGTTTAGATAATAATGCCAGTATCATGCCAGCTCAACCTAGTAGTGTAGCTGGATATACTGTACTTCCAGGGCCCAAAAGTAAAAACTTCACAGTTTTGTTGGTTGTAATTTCGCATTTTTGTTGTTAAAAAGGTTTCTGTTAACCACATTATTAAAAAAAAATGTCACACTTATGCACTGGAAGTTTTTTAGAAAAAAATATTGAAAATTTTTACTTTTCTTATCAAGTGGTGATACTTCACACTAGGTTAGGTTAGGTTAGTGTTGTGACCATAACGCGCGAGCCGAGCGAGCAAAGCGAGCGTGCCGCGGCAGCGGCCGGCGAAGCGCCAGAAAAAATAAACTGTTAAAAAGACCTTTTCTACAAAAAAAAAACAAGTATCACCTTTTGGGCCCTGGAAGTACAGTTTTACCGTGTAGCTACCTACCCTTTTACAATCTTCAATATTATATGCCAGTCAATAGGCAGAATCTGATATGCTATGGTGTCAAATATTTTTTTTTTCAGCGGACCGTTTCTTTTTGCATTCAACATCACAGCTGCTTCAGGGACATAAGGAAACAGAACTCGTGGACTTTGATAACTACCTAGATGATGTCTCCAAAGACTGGAACAATATTAAGATTAGAACCTATATTTTAGATGATATTAAGTCTGAAATAGAATTAATTAAAAAAAACAAAGAAATATGAGTTAACAGGGTTGCCTTTAGATAACTGAATTCTCTTAGTTTGTAAAAACATGTCATTGATGTATCAAGTTAAGGATATGTATTGTATTATCTATTGAAACAAATGTTAGCTTGCTATATTTACATATTATTTAAATTCATTTCTTAATATTAAAGACAATTTTTTATTTAAACCAGTTTAAATATGCATTTATTTAAATAACAAAATGTATTTATTTGCACATTTATTGTGAAACATTAAAGTAATTTTCAACAATCTTTTTACATTTGTTAATATTGCTTAAATCACCAGCTTTTCCTTGGAATTTACCATTATTAAATGCACCTTTACACTTTAGCAGTTCTGTGATTCTGAAAAAAAGAAGTTATTATAAACAAGGATTTTCCTTTGCTTGTACAGACAAATATTGTTATTTCTAGTATCTAGGCAGTATTATCTAGTACATTATTAAAAATTAGAATTTCCCAAATTTTAATCTTTAATACAAAACAATAATGACAAATCTTGATAGTTCTGAAAAATAATATCAATTTACAAAGGGGAAACTCACTGTTGTCCTAATACTTTAATATGCTCATCTGGACCTTGTATAAGGATCTGCCCTTCTTTAGGTTTATCCACTTCTTCAGAAGCAAAGAACATAAACAAACTCTCCCCTTCTAAACCTTTACAAACAGCTCTATTGAAATCAGGTGTTGCCTCTTTTTTGAACATAAAAACAAATTTTGGTTTTGGTTGAGCATTTTTTAGTTTTTCCACTTCATATTGGGCTAGTTCCATAAGCACATTCGAAAGGTTTTTATTTGAAATTTTAAGGTTCTTCTGAAGTTTTTGTACTAAATCTTCATGTTTGCTGGGTTCATTCCTAAAAAATAATATAGCATAATATTATATTATTTAAAGATTAAAATATTTTTGAGACATCAATCAATAGCTTACTTCAGTAATCCTGTCAAAGCCTTTTCTCTATCCAGCATCAGTTGCAATGTTTTAGTGACTCGATTACCTACTAAGAATTTTACATTGGTCTTGCCTTTCTTTCCTGGTTCTATACCGAGTAATTTTATTACTTGAAGTTGACTGCAATAACAAAAAAATATAAGAATAAATAAATAACTTGTATTTTCAAAGCATAAATTACAAACCTTAAGTTGGATACATGTGTACCACAACACATATTCCCATCAATGCTTCCAATACAGATGACTCTAATTGTGTCAATGCAATCTTTTGGAAGTCCTCTAGTGTGTGCCTTCAAACAGAAAATTGATTAAAAAAAAGTATAATAAAAAAAAACATGAAATGTTTTACATTTACATAATATTGCTGATACCTCATCCAAGTTAGGGTCATTTATTTTACAGAACTTGACATTCACAGGTATAGCTTCTCTGATAAGAGCATTGCATCTATCTTCAGTAGCTTGTATTACATCATTATTAACTTTAGTGGAATTTAACTCCACATAACACTCTTCTGCACCTAACCACCAGCTAGTTGTGGGAAGATTGTGTTCTTTCTCCAAGATTGCTGACAGGAGATGCTGTCCTGAAAATAATGGTAAAAATATTATTTTTATTCTTACATATTGGTTGTACGTATACTTAGAAGTCTTCCCCATTAGCTCACATATAAATTTCTATGTCCAGAATAAATACAAAACCAAACTTTAAAAATACCACATGATCTTAGCTCTGGGTGCCTTGAACTGTGTAATTGAAGAGTGTTTTTCTTTTTATACTAGCAGGTCTGAGTTTTACAATTCTCCACAACATTAGTTACACTTCCAGATACATCTAACGGCCCACCTAGCATTTTATGTTTAGACGGTCCCTAGCTAAAAATAAATGTCACATTGAGCAAAAGGTTTTTAACTATACAGTTTTGAAGCTGATTTATTAAACATATTTTCATGGAATTTAAAATTATTGCTCAGCCATAAACATGTACTATTCCTACAGACTGTTGAAATTTATAACACTAAGTGGGTTGATAGATGTGTCCGGAAGTATATATAACAAGAGATAAAACATGTATGATCGTGACAAATGTTCTTCTCTTTCTGTTATGTACACCTTACTTAATTTGAATAAGCTTATGTTACAGTATCATATAGATCTAAAAACATGCAAGAAAAATCACTAACCAGAATGTTGTTGCATGTGATCAAATCTCCTCTCCCAGTTCACTTTCTGGGAGACGAAAGTGCCTACTTCCAAAGGTTCTCTAGTGAAATGTAGGGCTTCATCCCCTTTGCGTAACACCTGCACCACTTCTTTTCCATTCAACCACCCATGATCATGAGGCTGAAAAAAAATTTTTTTTGGTCTTTTACAATGATTATAATCAGTGACATATTGTGTTATTATCTGTCATCATCATTACATACCTGACCTCCCCCCGCAGGAAAAAGTATGGTATTCTCTAATGTAACTTGATAACCTTCAAATTTAGATACTTTACCATATTCCACTATTGGTTCTGTAGTTTCCTCACATTTCACTACTCTGGACGTGAACTGAAACATTCATTTTAATACAATTAGGACCATTCTTGTAAAAAGAAGATATATATAGTACAAGATTTTCACAATAAACACTTTGTATTACATTATAAATGATTACTTGACTTACTTCCTTCAAAAAACTATCTTCTTGACATTTAAAAACCATTATAAAGATAATTTTGCATAAGAAATATTGTAATTATGAATTAGATTAAATTTCTTCTGTGGATGGCTCCCTCGGGATTTGATATCCGCGGTGTAATTTTGAATTATGGCCGGGCCGGCAGCCGGCACTCAGTTGGTTATTCGTATTCCCTAATTTGTTAACTTGACAACAGTGGTGTCGATTCTGACGTGATTCTCTAAACCTAAACTTAAATTTGACAACAGTATATCCTTGTTATTCTCTATACAAAATGAAAAGGAGAGACTGATTTTAAGTTTAGAGAATCATGCCAGAATCGACACCAGTCTGTCTGTCCTTAACATGGTTTTTAAAGGGTGTATTCCGAAATATACATCAGTATACTGGCCAGTGGTAATGACGTCACGAATCCGACGCAATATTGTTCTAGTATGCTAACAAATTTAATTAAATTAAGGATCCGTAATAATACCATCTTAGGTATTACTTGGATTTTTTACCGGGAAAACTTATATGACGTATGACCGAGCGTGCGTGAGATGCATTCGATTTTTTTTTCCTTTTTTATATAAAGAACAATAATGCCATCCGAACAAAAAGAATTCCTTTTAATTGATGAGGTGAATAAAAATCTTGTTTATTCTCACTATTTTTAATATTTCGTCGATTTATGACGTCAGTGCACTGGCCATTATACCAGTATAGCGTCGATTCATGAAGTCATTAGCATTGGTTAGTATACTGGTATATATTACGGAATATACCCAAAGACTGAAAGGAGACAGACTGTTGCAATTTTACAAATAGCAAAGACGAATAGCAAAGGGAAGTGCTGGCATTACGCTAATGCAACACAAGCAAATTGTCACTTTTAAACATGTGATTCTTTTTAATGTTCTCTCTTTTTAGGGAAGGCAAAGGGAACAATAATTATACAGTTTAATCTTTAGTTTTATTAATGTTTTTTTTACATTGGAATGCAGGTGTGATACAAATAAACCACAAACAAATAGAAAGTATAAAGGAGGACCTGTTGTTTAAGGATGAATGTGAAAGTAATCCCTTTGCCTTCCATAAAATGCACACTTTGTAGAGCTTCCCAACAACGATAATTTATAGATAAAATATATTTGAGGCAATGGTGTCGATTCTGGCATGATTCTTTAAACTTAAACCTAAATTTAACATCGGTCTCTCCTTTTCATTCTGTATAGAGAATAACAAGGATATACTGTTGACAACAGATTTGAGTTTAGGTTTAGAAGAATGGAGAATGAATGAGGAGAATCACGTCAGAATCGACACCAATATGTATTTTTTATAAGTTGTAGTCCAATATTTGCAGAATATAAAAAAGAGTAAGCCAGACGATTTAGTTGAGGTTTTAATATTGCCAGTTACGTACAAAAATATTTTGAAAAATAATATAACAAATGTATTGAGGCAATTTGAAATTTTAACAGGGTATTATTTATAATTAAAAAATAAGATTCTCATAAAGACAAATTATTTTGGTGGAGCTTTCTACCTGCCAGGTGATCTAACAAATTATGTATAGGTGCGAGTGCGTAGCGCTATAGACAAGCTGTAGAATGAGGCAGCTGTCTGCTTTATTATTAGCTCAGGCGAGGTCACGTGACTTGCAATAGGGTGCGGCCAGAGTGCACTCAGATTCAGATTCTGAAAACAAGCGCGAGAAATAAACAGTGTAGTCTAAGCAGGTTGCCTGCTTTTTCTCGCGCTTTGTTTTCTGAGTCTGAATCTGAATCAGAAGTGCACTCTGGCCGTACCCTTAGGGTGCGGCCAGAGTGCACTCAGATTCAGATTCAGACTCAGAAAACAAGTGCGAGAAATATACAGGCAGGTTGCCTGCTGCCACTATGGCCACTCTGCTTAAACTACATTCTGAAAACAAGCGCGAGAAATAAACAGTGTAGTCTAAGCAGGTTGCCTGCTTTTTCTCGCGCTTTGTTTTCTGAGTCTGAATCTGAATCTGAATCAGGAGTGCACTCTGGCCGTACCCTTCGACTACACTGTTTATTTCTCGCGCTTGTTTTCGGAATCTGAATCTGAATCTGGGTGCACTCTGGCCGCACCCATAGTTTGGATATCGATACCATAGATTACACACACATATTTCATCGACATTTTTAGTGTCCGTGATGCTAGCGTACCCACGATCAATATACGGTTTTTAGTTATGCCATTAAATAGTGCGTAAATAGTGCCAAATTAGTGTAAAAATAATAAAAATAGTGCCTCTTTAATTTAAGAAATAAATACCATTTTTACTGTGTACGCTACCATGACGTCAAGCTAGCGTACCCATGGCCGACCCCAAGAACGGCATATATTTAAGCAACGAAATTGACACCCAAAAATAGTTCGCAAATAGTGCCCTGGCTTTACAAAATTTCATAATCAATACTCTTAAAGGACCAAAGATATTGAACTAAACATTCTTAGCTGGCGTCAACCTGGCGTACCCATAATAGTTCTCATAGAAAATGAACTTTTCTCGTTATCAATTCTATATGTATAAATAGTGTGTCAAATAGTGCCTCTAACAGTAAAAGTATTTTATGTGAATCCGCATCACAACAATACATAAAGAGGGTGTTAAATTCTAGGAACAAATGTATTGTAGTACAGTTACACACAAAATTAATTTATGCACTAAGAGATTATCTATATATGTATTTTTACTAAAATAAATAGGTACTTTTTATAAAAAGATATTATATTTCAATCCGAATACACCAATCATAAATTCATATAAGAATTTCAACCTACCTACCTACTAAGTACCTTACTTACCTACTACACACATCAAAAGTGTCTAGGGATCAACATATATTTTTGCAATAACTTTTCTCCTGATTGATATTAATTAAAATTTTCTTTAAGGATTCATCAAATTAAGTGTTTTCGTTTGTCACAGTAACGATAAACCAAGTCAACTTTGCATTAATAAAGAAATTTGCCATTTTCCTAATAAAGGGATTTTTTACATTTGAACCACTGACACAAAAGTTCGAAAAAAAGACTGAAATAACAGTTTTCTCTAAAATTTTATTGGGTAACTTAAACAATTAATAATCCGTATTTCTACCGCGAACACTAACAACACAAGAACATCGGTTTGGCATACTCAAAATGAGTTCATCCAAATCACGCTGTGGAATGGCCGCCCATGTTCGTTGCAACAACAAAAAAAGGTCTTCTTGCGACTGGATACCCTCCATATTCGGCAGAGCTCTTCTCTGTAGCATATCCCATGCATGCTCAATCGGGTTCAAGTCTGGCGACTGAGCAGGCCAGGGCAGGACATTGATGTTAGCTGCGGCGAGAGTCTGTCTTACAACTCTTGCGGTGTGCGGTCGTGCATTATCATGCATTAACTGAAATAAGGGACCGATTTGCACTTGTAGAGGAACGATGACGTCTGATACAATCGTCTCAGCATAAATTTGAGCGTTGAGGTTGCCTCTGATCCAAATCAACTCAGTTCTTCCGCCGATCCAAATACCCGCCCATACCATGATGGTTCCACCACTATAAGGATGGACTTCCTGGCAGGATTTTAATCGCTGTTGGCGTCCAGGGGTTCTCCAGTGTCGTATACGTCTTGTATCCGGTCTCATACCAAAACGAGACTCATCAGAAAAGCACACGAAACGCCATTGTTCTTCTGCCCAATTTCTGTGTTCAAGAGCCCATTGATATCGAATCCTACGATTGTGCATTGCTATAGGTGGTACCCGTAGCGGTCTTCGGGAATGAAGGTTCACTTCATGCAAGCGGTTTCTGACTGTTTGGTCGCTAATTAAGTTCCCTGAAGAGTGATGAAGCCTCACGGCTAACATCATGGCGGTTATTGTTGGAGCTCTTCGAGTTAAGATTTGAATGTATCGGTCTTGTCTCCGTGTGGTGCAGCGATACCGTCCTCCATGGCGCTCAGCCACGGTACCAGTGCTTCGGTATCGTGTCCAAAGTCGACTGATAACACTCTGACTTGTATTCAGAGCTAAAGCCACAGTACGTTGCCGGGAACCAGCTTCTATCATTCCCACGGCTCTGAGCATTTCTTCCCTGCTTAAATGACGTCGCCGCTCCATAATAACGTTGGTTTTAATCAGTAGTAGGGAAACAGTAGCACTAATAATGTCTTCAATGCGTTGTATGTTTTTATAGGGAAAATATTGACAGCTGATTTTCATCTTTTACTCGAATTTGATTCACAGTTCCTGATTCAAATTATGAAATGCACCAAAAAGGATCCATATAAATTTATAAAATCATAAATTTATTACAAAGCCACATCTCAATCTCAAGAAATCCGCATAAAAATGCTTGATCCCTAGACACTTTTGATGTGTGTATACTACGAAAATATTATCACTTCTGTACATGACTGTACTTCATATATAAAAATAATTTAATTGCTTTTTTTATATTGTTTTACTGCGAATTAACATAAAATACTTTTACTGTTAGAGGCACTATTTGACACACTATTTATACATATAGAATTGATAACGAGAAAAGTTAATTTTCTATGAGAACTATTATGGGTACGCCAGGTTGACGCCAGCTAAGAATGTTTAGTTCAATATCTTTGGTCCTTTAAGAGTATTGATTATGAAATTTTGTAAAGCCAGGGCACTATTTGCGAACTATTTTTGTGTGTCAATTTTGTTGCTTAAATATATGCCGTTCTTGGGGTCGGCCATGGGTACGCTAGCTTGACGTCATGGTAGCGTACACAGTAAAAATGGTCTTTATTTCTTAAATTAAAGAGGCACTATTTTTTTAATTTTTACACTAATTTGGCACTATTTACGCAGTATTTAATGGCATAACGAAAAACCGTATATTGATCATGGGTACGCTAGCATCACGGACACATATAAGATAGTTCTTTTTTTATTTGTTTTTTATTAGGTTAGGAAAAATACATAAACATTTGCCTCCTTATATGGCTTGGTAAGCGGTAAGGGGTTAAAAAAATCATTAATAAAATTAAATAGTGCCTCTAACAGTAAAATACTTTTACTGTTAGAGGCACTATTTGACACACTATTTATACATATAGAATAGATAACGAGAAAAGTTCATTTTCTTTGAGAACTATTATGGGTACGCCAGGTTGACGCCAGCTAAGAATGTTTAGTTCAATATCTTTGGTCCTTTAAGAGTATTGATTATGAAATTTTGTAAAGCCAGGGCACTATTTGCGAACTATTTTTGTGTGTCAATTTCGTTGCTTAAATATATGCCGTTCTTGGGGTCGGCCATGGGTACGCTAGCTTGACGTCATGGTAGCGTACACAGTAAAAATGGTATTTATTTCTTAAATTAAAGAGGCACTATTTTTATTATTTTTACACTAATTTGGCACTATTTACGCACTATTTAATGGCATAACGAAAAACCGTATATTGATCATGGGTACGCTAGCATCACGGACACATCTTATATTAGTATAACCCTTTTATCATAAAACATCACGTTAATATTTTTTCCACACTAGCACCACCACACAGCACTTAGCGCCGTTTCGCTCTCGCTGCGTTTAAGCGAACAATTTTATCTCGCTCCCGCGATTGAATGTTTATTTACAGAAGTGCGGGTGCGTGTGAGATGGATATGTAGTTGAGACGGAGCATATTTTACTTGATGCTAGTAATAAGCGTACCGTATCTTCCCTTTTTGTACAAAACCATATTTGGCATCGTATAATTAATTACTTGTAATATAGAAGTTATATTTTTTATTTTAATTATATCTTATTATTAGACTTGCAACGAATATTGGGTTACTATTAGGTATTCGGCCTATTCGGCTGCTTTTATTATATTTGGCCGAATACCGAATATCTACATATTATTCGGCCGTATACCGAATACTCAAATAATATAAATAAATAAATTATAAATAAATATTTCCGACACTCACACCAATTAGCCTAGCCCCTAAGTAAGCACTATAAGGCTTGTGCTATGGGATACTAGGGTAATGGATAGAATACATATACTGTACATATATAAGTATATTTTTATAAATACATATTAAACATCCATGACCGGAGTACAAATGCTCGTATTTATCACACAAACATCTGCCCCCACCGGGATTCGAACCCGAGACCTCTCGAGTCGGCGACAGCCATGAAACCCATCGTACAAACCACTCGGCCACGGAAGTCGTCTAGTATATTTTGTCATAGAGAAATAATAGGTAAAATTAAAATCGATTGATTACGTATATATTCATATTTTCATTTGTGATATATAATCACTTAAGTAGTCATTGGTACATAACACAGGTACGTAATCATATTCAATTGGAAAAATGGAGGATTCTATGTATTTGAATTATTGTGGTAATCAAAATTTAGAAGGGTAAGGTTCTCATTTCTTTTATAATCATTTATTAAGTAGTCATTGGTACATAAAATAGGTACATGATTTAATCATTTTCTGTATTAAACAAGTTAACAGTTTTTAATTCATTCAGTCATGTGATGAATGGTTACATAATAGCAATAATTTAAAGTTTACGCGCCGTTTTTGGCCATATCTCAAAAGTTGGTTTTGTCGTTTAGTCGCATTTTAGCTTGAGGACGGCAGATTAGAACAAAACAAAGGAGCGCGAAACAATCACGTCTGTACAAGTTTTTGGCGCTAAAATCCAGCCCAATATTTTTGCCTAATATTCGGCTATTCGGTCAGGGGCCTCGCCGAATATTCGGTATTCGGTTTACTGCCGAATATACTATTCGTTGCGAGTCTACTTATTATGTAAGCTTAATAGACCACTATTACGCACAAAACATATTTTTATTCCATTTCTTTAATAATTTATGCAGTAATGGGATAAAGTATAAATGGTATTTATGAATTAGCAATAAAATAACTTGATAAGAAAAATCTTGGATTATTATTACTTATTAGGGTTGGTTAAAATAAAAATGCAACCAATATTTGGTTCTAAGTAATTATTCTTTAATATTCGCAATCGAAAATTCTTTTAATATTTTATCTAAAGCAGTTATAGCGAAATCGACATCTTCTTTATTAATACACATCGGTGGTTTTATTCTTAAAACCTGGAACAAAATTGGTCATACATTATTTATATTAATGAAATTATATTTTATCTCTAATAAACTGGAGGCTTTAAATATTGAGGAAGCAAATCTGTCACGATTGGAAAGCAAATAGAAGAAGCAAATGGGAAGCAGATAAATGGCCACTATTTCAAGTGATTTTAACGCTAAATAAAATTGGGGACCTGCCATGCTGACGGTCACAAAAGAAAAGTATTTTTTATAATTATAATTTGTCATCAGCTCCATAACGCCGGGGCCTAAATAACATGAATTGATGAGCACCGAATTGCTAAAATACTGAATTAATGTTTTGTTTTGTACGAAGTCAGAACTGAATCTAAACGAAAAGGGTACTCGATTGGTCCGTCTCTTTATAATATCAAGGAGTTCCTTGGTAAGCATATTTGATTTCACATAATGTTTTTACCGTACATACTGGCACCGTACATACGCCCAGTATGTACCCAGAAACACGCAATACTTCATCTCTTCTCAATGTTTGTTCCCCGTTGTGTGGATTCGGTAACTAAGTGGAGCAGAGTTTAATTAGAACAGAAACGGTAAACATCTCCAGCTTACGGCTTAATTGGTAGAATGAAAATTGATGCGCAACTAGTCAGAACTGAATCTAAACGAAATGGGTACTCGATTGGTCCGTCTCTTTATAATATCAAGGAGTTCGTCATTTATAACTGTGTAAAAACTTAGTACCTACAATTGTGTTTATGCAAGAAAAAGCTAGTACTTACATTATTATAACGCCCGCCACGCCCTATAAGAATACCGTGATCCCTGATTCTTTCGAATATTGTTAGGATATCATCAACCGCTAACGGTTGCTTTGTGTGAGGAACTACCAATTCGATTCCTAACATGAGTCCCTTGCCCCGCACATCGCCGATAACTGGATGATGTTTTTGCAATTGCATAAGTTGTTCTATGAAGTATGCTCCAAGAATCTTGCAGTTCTCCTGAAGGTGCTCCTCTTCTATGACCTAGGTAAAACAGAAAAGAAAAATAAAATATCTTCTAAGTGGGAGTCACCATAACACGGAAGGTTTCATCCATACCATAATAGATACCACTGTAGTAGTGTTATCTAGTCCAAATCCTGGTACGGGCAACCAAATGTTTGTATCACTACTACAAGCATTTGTACGTTGTTGAGTCATGGCTGTTTATTTAAAATATATTTCCACAAAAATATAACCATGCAGATTAGGTAGGTATTACTTATTATATGTTTTTATGTACTCTAGTCTATAGTTATATAAAAAACTCAAAGGTGACTGATTGACATAGTGATCTATTAACGCACAGCCCAAACCACTGGACGGATCGGGCTGAAATTTGGCATTCAGGTAGATGTTATGACGTAGGCATCCGCTAAGAAAGGATTTTGATCAATTCTACCCCCAAGGGGATAAAATAGGCAATGAAAGTTTGTATGAAACTTTGTCAATTTTAAACCGATAGGGCTGAAAATTTGGATGCAGGTATAAGAAGAATCATAGATGAATGTCATTGTGTATAATACAAGCCTGAGAACATACACTGTAGTCTACACTTCAGCTCTACACCGAAGCGAAGCGAGGGCGGGCCGCTAGTATCTCATATAACTCAAGCACAGTGCTTACTTTGGGATTGGACTAATTGTTTAAAAGGTTTCAAAATGGAAACTGATATAAAAAAAAAGTTTGCTTAGTATTTTATAAAGGATGGTAATGTTACTTATGATACTCACGTTTAATACGGATTCACCCACAGCAGCAGATAGTGCGTTCCCTCCAAAAGTATTGAAATACGTTGCTCGGGTATGTGCAGCAGCTATTTCCTTCGTCGTAACCACAGCTGCCATTGGGAAGCCGTTGCCAATGCCTTTAGCCATCGTTACTATGTCTGGTGTGACACCATGGGTCTCGAAACCCCAGAAAGCATCACCCGTACGCCCAAAACCAGACTGTACCTGAAATATTTTGCAGTTCAATTCTGTTTAGCTTTTGTCGTACCATCTATCTATATATATAAAACTCAAAGGTGACTGACTGACATAGTGATCTGTCAACGCACAGCCCAAACCACTGGACGGATCGGGAATGGAAGGAAAATAGGGAATGAAAGTTTGTATGAAACTTTGTCCATTTTAAACCGATCGGGCTGAGACTTTGCATGCAAGGGGGAAGCATTGGCGGTCGGTCTGGATATCGCGAAGGCCTTCGATCGGTTTTGGCACAAAGCGCTTCTTTCGAAGCTTCCTTCTTATGGGCCTCCTGAAAAGCTGTGCAGTTGGATCACTAGCTTTCTTGCGGACATGAGCATCAAGGTCGCAGTCGACGGTGCATGCTCGGACTCCAAATCCGTAAACGCTGGTGTTCCACAAGGCTGTGTGCTATCGCCTACGCTGTTTCTTCTTCATATCAATGATATGCTTCAAATTGATGGCATTCATTGTTATGCAGATGACAGCACGGGTGATGCCCTATATACCGGCCGCGCCAACATTTCACGGGAGAACGTCATCGAGTGCCGGAACAAACTTGTGTCTGAAGTCGAAACTTTGCTAAACCGAGTAACGAATTGGGGCCGATTTAATCTAGTCCAACTTAACCCTACGAAAAAATACCATTTGTCGTATCTCCTCTTTTTGACAACACTCCTCTAACTGCCTCAGCTAGTATTGGAATTCTTGGCGTTGACATATCGAGCGACGTCCAGTTTCGGGATCATTTAGAGGGCAAGGCCAAATTGGCCTCTAAGAAGCTTGGTGTGCTCAATAGATCGAGAATGTACTTCACACCGGCCCACCGACTGCAGCTTTATAAGGCACAGGTTCGGCCTCACATGGAGTACTGCTCTCATCTTTGGGCGGGGGCACCCCAGTACCAGCTTCTCCCTTTGGATCGCATCCAGCGCCGAGCGGCTCGAATCGTCGACGACCAGGACCTTTCCGATCAGCTTGATCCTTTGGCTTTGCGTAGGGATGTAGCTTCGCTCTGCATCTTCTATCGCATTTATCACGGGGAGTGTTCTGAGGAATTGTTCGGATTAATTCCAGCTGCTGCATTTCGCCATCGTACATCACGACAAAAATTTCATCCCCATCATCTTGATGCGTGGCTATCTACAACCGTGCGTTTTTGTCGAAATTTTTTACCACGTACGACAAAACTGTGGAATATATTGTCGCCAGCAGTGTTTCCGGACCGATACGACCCAAAAACCTTCAACAAAAGAGCGTACTCCTTCCTTAAAGGCCGGCATCGCATTTGTGATACTCCTGGTGTTGCAAGTATCCATGGGCGACGGTGATCACTTACCATCAGGTGAGCCTTCTGCTCGTATGCCCCCTATAACATAAAAAAAAATGCAGGTATAAGAAGAATCATAGATGAATATCATTATGTATAATACAAGCCAAGAACAAAAACTGTAGTCTACACTTCTGCTCTACACCGAAGCGAAGCGAGGGCGGGCCGCTAGTGGTATTATATACTCCGATAGTTTACCTTGTTAAAGAGGTATTATTATTATTTGTCAATATGATCATCTATCATCTGTTTGCTTGCAAAATAGTTATTATAGTTACCTCATCGGCAATGTATACGCCACCATATTTTTTAACTAATTCGTAAGCTTTTCTAAGATATCCTTTTGGAAACTGCACTGTGCCATTGACTCCTTGTATCGACTCCGCAAATAAGCCAGCAATCTTACCAGCCGGCACAGAATTCTCTAAAAGCTGTAAAAAAACATATTAACGAATATAACTTAAAAACCGCAAGACCAAAAACACTCAAGCCATTCCATTTACCTCTTTGAGTTGGTGAATGTATTTTTCAGTTGAATCGCAGTCACCTGGGCAGGTGCATGATCCCGGCACTTGTGAGAGCGAGTCTCTGCATCCCCCCCAAATACCTCTAAATGGATCAGGAAGCATAGCCTATAAAATATTGTTTAATCATACCTATTATTTAGATAGACTTCCAGTATATGAGTGTACAGAAAAGAAATCTGTATTTGGCAATTTCAATTAAACCAAGGGCGGATCCAGCATTGGCGCAGGGGGGGTCGTATATATAGTCGTGGTCAAGTCACAGTGGGTACAGATTGTGAAGTGGGTACAGATGGACCCAGCCCAGGGGGGGGGGGGTCATGACCCCCATGACGACCACGCTAAAAAAGTCCTGCGAATACCTTCTACACTGCTTAATGCAAAGCCGCGGGGTCCCCGTTAGGGATTCTACCACGACTCCGCACCCAGCAGCTTCCCGGCCTCGCCGGGGCTCCACGGCAGGGGTCTCCCGAGGTATGTCGGGGACCCCGCAGACGTGCGCAGGATGGCCCGCTCGTGGGGGCTGAGTACGCGGCCTAGTGCCACCGTACCGCCCCCCGTCCGCTGCGGCTTCTTGGGCGTTCCCGTCCAAGCCACCCTCCGCCGCCCCCCTTTGTAGGACAAAACTACTAGAGGGGGGCCGCCGTTCCTGGGAATGACCGCCCCCTGGATCCGCCCTTGCAATCAACTTACGTGATAAAAACCTGGTGGAACCGGCAAAGGCATGCGATAGCTCTGAGTCGCGGTAAGACCCATGAGGGCACTGGAGTACCCATGGTAGCTGTTCTGCAGTGATATGATGTCATGATTACCAGTATACGCCTTTGCTAATACTGTTGCTAGATCATTCGCCTCAGTACCACTGTTTACTAAATAGACCACCTGGAATAAAAGTGCTCAAAGCTATTAATATAACAAAATACATTCGTCTTAATTCTGATCGAAGTTTTTGTAGACAAAAACAGTTAACTATTTCGTAGGTAATTTAAATAATTGCTACGAGTCGTTCGGAATTGATTATTGTGTAAAATCATATAATTTCACCTTCAAATCTCCAGGAAACTTTGATACAAGCTTCTGTATGTAGTCGTATATTTTAGGATGCCGATATATATTAGTGGTATGCCATAGTGTTTCTATTTGTTTCTTAAGAGCTGAAACAACTTTCCTGTAATCAAGAAATAAAATATAGTTTTATTTACTTATCTATACATATAAAACTCAAAGGTGACTGACTGACATAGTGATCTATCAACGCACAGCCCAAACCACTGGACGGATCGGGCTGAAATTTGGCCTGCAGGTAGATGTTATGACGTAGGCATCCGCTAAGAAAGGATTTTGATCAATTCTACCCCCAAGGGGGTAAAATAGGGAATGAAAGTTTGTATGAAACTATGTCAATTTTAAACCGCTCGGGCTGAGACTTTGGATGCAGGTATAAGAAGAATCATAGATGAATGTCATTGTGTATAATACAAGCCTGAGAACAAACTCTACACCGAAGCGAAGCGAGAACGGGCCGCTAGTTACTGAATATGCCGGTTGACGACCTCCGTGGCCGAGTTGTTTGTACGCCGGGTTTTATGGTGTCGCCGACTCGAGAGGTCCCGGGTTCGAATCCCGGTGGGGGCAGATGTTTGTGTGATGAATACGAGCATTTGTACTCCAGTCATGGATGTTTCATATGTATTTCTATATAAATATACTTATATATGTACTGTATATGTATTTTATCCGTTACCCTAGTATCCCATAACACAAGCCTTACAGTGCTTACTTTGGGGCTAGGCTAATAGGTGTGAGTGTTGCAAATATTTATCATTTATTAACTAACTATCATCAGTTTGTTATGTCTTCGCTGTAGTTGCCTTTCTTTTTGACGAAATAGGGAGGACAGAACATGAGCTCATGACCTGCACCGTAACGAAGACTTCTTCAAGAAGCCGTTTGCAGAGAAACGGCAAATCAAAGTAAAGTGATGGAAGTCAGGGGAGACGTTATCGTTCAGTTAAGTGCAAGTGTCAGAATTATTTTTATTAATTTTTAATATATACTTACAGGTCTATATTAGATGTTACTCACGTGTTCTGTGATGTTACTGGTTTATTTAATAAAGTAGACGTAAACAGGTATGTATGAGCAGCTCGATGGCGCAGGTGGTTAGCGCGTTCGGCTGCGGTCGTTGAAGTTAAGTAACTTTCGCAATAGTCGGTCATTGGATGGGTGACCAAAAATCTTCTATCTCGGGTTCCTCCGTGCTTCGGAAGGCACGTTAAGCCGTTGGTACCGGCTGCATCTGCAGTCGTTAGCTCCCGCCAATCCGCACTGGCCCCGCGTGGTGGGTCATGGCCCAATCTCCCTATTCCATCCATAGGGATGATGATGAAGGTATAAATATATATTCTCATACTCACGGGTGACAATGCCCCACGGAAACTGTAACAATGCCTCCAAACAAATCCAAATACTTTCTACCCTCGTGGTCATATAGATACTGCATGTGCCCTTGGTGTAACAGCACTGGCTTTTTATAAATATTATAGACAGACGGGGGGAAAAATTTAGACTTTATCTCATCTGTTTGCTGCATACTGGGACCCTGAATACACATTCAGGGTCAAAGGTCAGGTCAAGTAAATGAACTGTGCATACTTACACAAGTAGGCACAGTTTATTTACTTTGAAATTAATGTGAAGATTAATGTAAATAAAATTAAGGTGTTTATTATATTTTATTTTAAGCATTAAACTGTTACATTTATAAATCTAAAGAATTGCCTTCCTGCATCTTCTGCTATCCGGCTTCCGGAAAGTGTCCAAGTTCGAGTCCTTTCGGAAGCCAGGAGGCCTACTCTAATTCAACGAAAAACGAAATTTCGATCGAATCTTCGCACTTTTCTTACGAAGAAATTAAATTTTGTTTTAACTTCGTTATCGAAAGTTCGTTTCGGAGAAAGAAAGTGGATCCCCTGGACCGCATAGTTTTTTTTAATAAAGTGTTTTTTATCTTTTTTTATTTTAATAAGCATATAAAATTCTTGTGTGACAGTATTTGTGAAAAACTCCTCTGAAACGGATTACCTATATTCAGTAGGTCTGAATCTGAGAATAGGGCGTAAACTATGTTTCATAAGCAAAGGTGATATGGGTGGTTCACTCACTCATTTTTTATTTTTTTTAGTTAAATTTTTATCTCTTTCGGCATTAAAAAAATGCACCTCAAAATTTTCACCCCTCTACCACATACGTAGTAGTACGAAACGCTGTGCCAGTCAGTCATTATAGAAATAAAATAGTTACAGAAAATCTTTTGGGCTCAATTAGTTATTTAAATAAAATTGTTTTAATAATTCATTTGGATTTATTTTATTAAACCTAGCTCATAAAGATAAGCCTAATATGCTCACCGTATATTTTTTCGGTAGGAATTCATATTTCGGTTGGACTGAAATACAACGTAATCCATTGTGTCTTGAAAACACTTTAAATTTATTTGCTAACACTGAAAAGATAATAAAACTTGAGTAACTTCAAAGTAACTGTAAAAACTTGTTTCATAAACGTGCAGTTATTTTTAAGTTTATTTATACCTTTATTAGTCATCGTGAATTTCGAGTAAAAAATGCGTTCTAATTAATAACGTAATAGTGCGCTGTCCAAAATAAAACTAACATTCGTCTTGTTGAATTCTATGTAAATAAGCAATGACTGTTTAACCCTGAATATATTTGCAGCTATTGAATATAAATAAGAGTTCGGTCACACTGCTTGTATATGTAATTACGGTAATATGAAGGAACTATTACATTTCCTGCACATTATGAAATGCAGTCTGCAGTCGATCACAACATTTTAAAATCTATGTTTCTGAAGTGAAACTTCTTTGTGCGTGATGAGAGTAACTTTTCAAGATCGCGTCACGATTTGAGTGTCAGATTTTAGTGCGACGATTTTAAATTTTAAAGGAAGAATAGATGTAAGCAACTAGAGAGAAAACAATGAACACCATAATATATACTAATTTTAATTTTTTTTGAGTGTGTATGCTGTTGTGCAGGTTACCTTTAAGCGTCACCGGGTTTGGGGAAGGCGAGATCCTAAGGGGACCTCAAGCCGAAAATTGGCGAGTGCCTCTAGCTAGACTAGAGTTATTACGTACCTCTTTGTACGTACATATCAAAGCCGTTATACCAAACCATACCGCGATGTAGATGTATGAACCATTTGTCAAAAAACTTACACACCATGTACGTACATGTATATGTTACGTACATATACGTACTTGGTGTGTAAGTTTTTTAACGAAATATCAGATAAATTTTGTTAATTTTTTACGTTTTTGAAATTATGTAATTAAGTTAATATATATATATTTATAATTATTATAGTGAAAGTTCGTTTCACTTCTGACATGATGACTCTTTACTCACGCTGTTTTTATATGATGTTTTAGGTTAATTTAGAACATACCCCTTCCCTCAAATTAGAGAACAAAGTGGTTGTTCTGTAATCTGATCCCCTTCGTTATAAATAAATAAATAAGTACGCTTCATCGTGTCAGATACTGGATACATGTAGTGTGTCCAGTCTCTTGTGTCGAGTTTTTGTATAACCCGATATTTAACATGAAAAAAATATCTAAGTAAGCAGTAGGTAGGAACCTCTGTTCACGGAAATATTTACGGAACCATTATCACTTAGGCCTATTTAAGTTAGAGATTTATATTATTTTTATATTATTCAATGCTTTATTTAATTTTGCGCAAGATATGATGTATTAATCAAGAGTCGGCAAATCAGCCAAAAATACTTAGGTAGCGATTTTTCCTTTCGCATTCTAGGGGGTTTCGCCCACCCTAGACCTGTTGGTGTCTGTACCGATTTAAAAAAAGCTGACCATAAAAATTAAAAAAGAACATTATGACCAGTGCCGTGGTTGACCTATTGGAGGCCCTAGGCATATTAGGATAATAGGGCCCTATGACTTCTGCTTGGTGATTTAACAGGAACTAGGGACTTTGTATTTGATCTGAGCGGGCCCCCTATCTATCGCGGGGCTCTGGGCACTTGCCCAAAATGCCCACTGGGAAAGACGGGTCTGATTATGACCAGTGCCGTCTTTGACCTATTGGAGGCCCTGGGCATATTAGGATAATGAGGCCCCTATGACTTCTGTTTGGTGATTTATGATCGAGGACTAGATAACCTCGATCATATATAATAAATAAAGAATGCCAGCTAATATTGACTTAATATATATTTACAAACAAAATAGAACACATGAGTACAAACAACGTATCTAAGCAAGTAACAACCAAAAACTTGAAGTGCATGTCAGTCAGTATATTCAAATAATTCTGACAACCACAAACCATACGAATAACAGCAATGAGATTACACGCAAATATAAACTCCTAGCAATTTGTCGCTCTAACACTCCTCCTTAATCTCATGCCTGTTAGTGTACCTACCATATAAACAGCCATCTTATTCACACACAACTCAAACCCATGCTTTTCACACACCATTCAAATTTACCTCTCAACAAACACTTTGTCAAAACATCAGCTGTCATTCTATTAGTTTCCTTGTACCTCAAATGAATGTCACCATTCTCAATCGCCTCACGTACAAAGTGATATCTTACATCCACATGCTTCGTACGCTGGTGATGTACAGGATTCTTAGCAATTGCCATAGCTGACTGACTATCAGTGAAAATTGAGATTGCGGGATTGGGTCCATCTCTTAATTCTGCAATAAACCTGCGAATGAAAATTGCCTCTTTTGCAGCCTCTGATAACGCTACATACTCAGCTTCTGCAGACGATATTGCCACTGTACGTTGTTTCTTGCTCTCCCAAGAAATAGCTCCTCCTTGAGATAAAAATACCCAACCTGAATTTGATCTTCTATCAAAGTCTCCGGCGTGATCTGCATCAGCATAACCTAATACAAACTCATTTTGGTTTCCCCTTCTATAGAATAATGCTAGATCCTTGGTTCCCATCAAATAGCGGAGCACTCTCTTTGCAGCTATCCAATGCTCGTCTCCGTAGCTGTTGTTAAACTGACTGAGCTGACTTACTGTGTGTGCTATGTCAGGGCGCGTACAAACAGCAAGGTACATCAGTGAACCAATCAATGCGCGATACGGTACTTTTTCATCAAGTTCTTGATCAAGCTGTGGCCTCTCTAGCCTTTGTCCTGGTACTGCTGGAGTAGCAACTGGTTTACAGTTCTCCATTCCAAATGTACGAATAACCTTCTCTATGTATCCCTTCTGATCCAGTTTGATCCCTTCACTATCTTGTGCTATTCGTATTCCCAACATCAACTTCGCTGTGCCAAGGTCCTTCATCTCAAATTTGTTTGTGAGATCGGTTTTAACCTTCCTTAATTCCTCAACATTATTCCAGAACAATAAAATGTCATCTACATATATGGCAAGAATAATTACTTTATCTCCTGTAGATCTAATATAAACGCATGGTTCATACTCAGACCTCTTGAATTTAAGTTTCAGCAATTCCAAATGAAGTTTTTTATTCCATGCTCTGGGAGCTTGTTTAAGTCCGTACAATGATCTTTGCAACTGGCACACATAATTCTCCTTTCCCTTTTCAACGAAACCCTCTGGTTGCTTCATATAAACCACCTCGTCCAAGTTACCATTCAAGAATGCGGTTTTCACGTCCATGTGGTCTATATTAAGATTCATATGAGCTGCCAATGCAATCAATGTCCTCAAAGAGCTATGTCTAATAACTGGAGAAAATGTCTCAAAATAATCTATTCCATGCCTCTGGCTGAAACCTCTTGCAACTAGGCGTGCTTTGTATCTCTTATTTCCCCCTGCCTCTTCTTTGATTTTAAATATCCATTTAGAATCAACGACGTTGCAAGATTCTGGAGGTAACGTCAATTTCCATGTTTTATTTTTCTTGAGTGCATTAAGCTCCTCGTCGATCGCAGCTTTCCATAAGTGTTTGTCTCTTCTAGACAATGCCTCATCCACACTCTGCGGATCATCACAATCAGCTATTGTGTGATATGTAATGCAGTCAGGTATCTCTTTCTTCTTTCTATCTCTTAAAGGATATCTTCTTGTAACAGAACTCTCTTCATTTGTTTCTGTTTCTAAATTCTCATGCAGAATATCATCATCATTACTACTTACAATATTTACAGGTTCATTTTCCGATTCAATTTGATCTCTTTGAAAATCTTGAACTTCTATGTGATCTTCATATTCTGTGACGTTATCCTTAAAACTAAGCGGTGCTGACTTCTCAACTCTTTCAACTGTTTGCTTACAGTTTATATTCTCGTTCTCGAAAAACACAACATCTCTGGCCTTGCTTAAATGATTAGTTATTGGGTCTATTAAGCGGTAGCCTTTCGATTCTTCACAGATGCCTACATGAATCATTTCTTTAGATTTAGCGTCCCATTTCGTCCGTTTTACTTTTGGTACGTGAATAAACGCTTTGCATCCGAAAATTCGTAGCATGCTTAAGTCTTGCTTCCTTCCAGTCCACGCTTCCTCTGGCGTTTTACCTTTAACTGCAATGGTCGGTGATCTATTCTTTAAATACACAGCGTAGTTCACCGCCTCTGCCCAGAACTTTTCATCTAGCTCTGCTTCCTGAAGCATACTTCTAGCTTTTTCTGTTATTGTGCGGTTTGCACGTTCTGCAACTCCATTCTGCTCGGGTGTATACTCAACCGTTAATTGCTGTTGTATACCACACTGCTTCAAAAATTTCTTCATCTGCTCATTGACATACTCCTTGCCATTATCCGATCGAAGAATTTTTAATTTCTTTCCAGACTGGTTCTCAGCAAATGTCTTGAAATCTAAAAATTTTTGAAAGACTTCACTTTTGTTTTTGATAAAATATACAAAAGTTTTTCTTGTAAAATCATCAATAAACGTTAGAAAATATTTACAGCCCGACATTGAGTCTTTACTCATTGGTCCACATACATCAGTATGAACCAAACCTAAAATATCATCAGCTCTGTTTGCTAAACCCTTTTTAAACGGTTGTTTGGTCTGCTTTCCCATCAAACAAGCTCTACACTGTAAGTTAACTGGATTATTAGTAAAACTTACCCCTGTAGCCAATTTGTCTCTCAGCAGCTTAAGGTTCCGTACACCAAGATGTCCCATACGTCTATGCCACAACTCTATGTCTATGGTACTGACAGTCGAGGCTAGTGCTTTCTCCTGTGAACAGAGCTTAAGTTTATAAACACCATTATCCTCCACACCTGTATATAAGACATCACCAGTAACCTTACATCCATCCGCTTTCAACAGTTCATAGCCTTTCGCTGAAAATACAACAACTACATTCTTCTTTACAATAGCACTCACGCTCAACAAGTTAGTTGCTAAGTGTGGTACATACATCACTTCACTTACGCCTGCAACATTCTCCTTACATACCACAGAACCTTCTCCAATACCATATACTTTACTACCATTCGCACATCCGATTTCCACTTTTTTGTCATACATTCTAACGTCCATTAAATACTCTTTGCTGTTAGTCATATGGCTTGATGCCCCAGAATCTAAAATCCACTCGTCTGGTTTTCCTGAAGTTGCAAGTCCCAATGCTAACGAAGCCTTCTTATTTTTTGAGTTCTCTGGACAATCTCTCGCTTTATGTGGTCCATTACAAATAAAGCATTTTATCTTCTGTGACTTCTTGTATGGAAATCTCCTAGTCTTGTTATGTGTATCAACACGCAATGCTATATCATTACTGCTTGAACTACTAGTGTTATACGAATCTTCCATTTGAAGTAATTTGGTTTTTATGTAATCTGTGGTCAACTCTACTCCTGAGTTTTCAATCGCAAGCCTCATTGGTTGAAAAGTTTCGGTCAAACCTTGTAACATGAGAGCAGCTAGCATCTCACCGTCAACTTCTTTACCGATGTCCCGTAATTGCTGCGCTACTAACATTATTTCTGTTACATAACTCCTAACTGATGTAAATTGTTCAAGTTTTAGGCTAACTAACTTGGTCAAAAGTCTGCAACGGTTGTTAAGACCCTTATCTTCAAAAGCCGATCTCAAAGCGTCCCACGCTTCTTTAGCTGTCTTAGCGTTTCGAACGTGAATCAGACAGTGGGGCTTTACCATCAAGCATATTTTTGCTCTCGCTTTTTGGTCTTTCCTACAGCCTACTACATCAGTTTTATCTGGCGTTGTTTGTGTGTACTCCCATAAATCATCGTGAATTAGATATAATTCTACCAAAAATTTCCAAGTACTATAATTCGAATTTCCATCGAGTTTCTCTATGCTCATACCTGTGTCGTGTGAAGGCTGAGATCTCTCCGATCCATCGCTGCTCGAATTTACCTTCATACTATTTCCTTGTGTAGCCATATTTTAAGTCTTCTTATATTTATCATATGCGGCCCATAACCTGATCGAGGACTAGATAACCTCGATCATATATAATAAATAAAGAATGCCAGCTAATATTGACTTAATATATATTTACAAACAAAATAGAACACATGAGTACAAACAACGTATCTAAGCAAGTAACAACCAAAAACTTGAAGTGCATGTCAGTCAGTATATTCAAATAATTCTGACAACCACAAACCATACGAATAACAGCAATGAGATTACACGCAAATATAAACTCCTAGCAATTTGTCGCTCTAACAATTTAACAGGAACTAGGGACTTTGTATTTGATCTGAGGGGGGCCCCTATCGATCGTGGGGCCCTGGGCACTTGCCCAAAGTGCCCGCTGGGAAAGACGGGTCTGATTATGACAACCATCTTTGAAAAGCGTCCCAACTAAATTCAAAAAAGCTAATATGCCAGTAAAAACATTTTTAAGTCAAACAATAAGTGCTATAAAACAGCTTTTTAAATTAACATTTTTAAATTTCGCGCTCATTTAAACGAAAACGCTGGACGCAGTGAACACCATATTGCTCTGCTGTCTTGACGTCATTTGTACAGTAAATAAATGCGTTACCTTGGTTATGAAAGCATTATAAGTACTGAGTTGACAGATAACACATTAGCATTTACTAGCGGTGTGACGTACCAACAATGTGGCGGCTACTACGTCTACTATTTCATCGTGTTTTAAAACAGATTAAAAAAACTAAAAAGTTAGATTTTAATTTTAAAATGCATTTTGTTATTTTATTAACTGAAACTAACATATTCTGACTCCTTTTTGTCATAACTAAATATATTCAACAAAAGTACTTTCTGTATTTACCATGTTGAATGGTATGTACAAGACTTACTTATTTGCTTAGATACGAAGAGTTAAAAAATAAACAACGTTGACCTTATAATCAAGTAGGGCCAAAGATTTTATACATAAACTAAATTGATATCAATGTATGGGGAACGTCATTGTTTTGGACAGATAAATCAGTAGCAATCTATTTAAATCGCAATAGGATGATAAAATTACTAATTATAAACACGCGCGGGACTTATTGAAGGTCTGGCCTTGATCAATTTATAATTGACTTACTTAATAGGATTATATATTTCAAAGTACTTAGTAACACAAATGTCTTTTATCAGAGGAAAATCATCAAAAGTGTAAACCATTACATAGAATATAACTATTTTGCCCGTTAAAAGATTATTATTGCCTACACAAGAAAAGCTTTGATTAGTTAACAATCTGGCTTGTATAAGTAAGTAATTATTTTCTAGATTTGGTCAGGTCAGTTTAGTAGAAAGCAACACGTAGATAGGCAGTAAGTAGATCATTTTTTTATTAATTTAAGACAGGGCAGAATACGAAACCGGGAACTTGGATAATTTAACACCTATTTTCAGTTTTCAAAAAGATTTATGAATTACCTACCTACAGGAATGTGTACCGAAAATTAAAAAGATAAAGTAGGCTACAAAAAAAAAAGTATCACAAATAAAATAAAAAAACATTTTAAAGTTCGCTCGAGGTTCGCGCGTAATCTGCCGGTGAAGGAGGATGAGGACGTGACGTCACATTGTGATCTAAAATAGTTGTGATTTTGTGCTACAATAGGGAATATGCATGTAATTCTAATAAACATTTTTTTTTAAACTCTGTTACTTACTTTTAGGTTGTCCTTCCATCAATATTTTGCATTGCCTTATCGCCGTACTATTTTATTTGTGTCTAAGATTCTTACTGGTTGACTAGTAGAGGATGCGAATGCGTATGGCATGCGTATGGCTTAAATTTGACAGCAGTGTGTCCTTGTCATTCTCTATACAGACTGAAAAGGAGAGACTTATGTTAAATTAAGTTTTTAAGTATAGAGAATCACGCCACAATCGACGCCAGTATTGTTGTCTTTATGTTTAGATTTAGAGAATCATGTCAGAATCGACACCATAGGTGGCATGATTCTCAAAACTAAAACCGTAGACATAGGTGTCGATTCTGGCACGATTCTCTAATCCTTAACTTAATTTTGAAAAGGAGAGATGATGTGTTTAGTTTAATGTTTAAAGAATCAAGCTTGAATCGACGCCACTGTGTGTCTGTGTCATGAACCGTGGTCGTACTTTGGATACGTAGGGTATGTACATGTGCTATTTAATCTAGATTTTTAGATAAATATCGTATCTGCAAATTTATATTAGGCCAATAAAAGAAATATTTGATGTATCACAAATAAATCGATTTTAATCTTCATAATACTACCGGTTTAGTCAGTGTGTTGTGTCACTTCACTACACGTGACACAATATTCCACGTCAATCGAGTTGGAGAGAAAATTGGCATTTTGCCTCGGTTTAGTTCGCTGTTGGGCTGTCTGTTCAAAGAAAGTGAATGGCTTGTAATCTACTTAGGTAGTTGCCGTCATTGTGTAAAGTAATAGCAGTAGTACTATTTATTAATACAAGATGAAATTAGTTTATTTAACTTTACTAGTTCTTCCAGCGGCGTTACTCTGCTTTCAAAGTGGTAAGTGTCCCGGTTAGATTTCACACATTTACATTGAAGAATATGAAAGTATTCGGCTTTGGTACGTGGCAACATATTTCTCCTGTTTCATGAACGAAACTTGGTCTTAATACTCCTAAATTAGCATTACATTTGAAGCCTGTACTGTGTTACTGTAGTTTTTTTTATTCTTATTGTTTAATTGGAAACAAACTATTTAAGGAACAAGTTAACCCTGATAGAGTTTGCAATAAGTGCAGTTGATACTTGTGTGTAAAGCCCTAAATTAAAATAACCAGTGCCTAATAACTGTACTTTGATGATTGTATTATTAAAACCTGTAATTTTACACGACGTTTTTGGTTAATCTGCACACTTAGCTCTGTCTGCTGTTTTATAACAAGGTAATGCATTTATTTTCAGCAAACACATTATTCGCTAGAGCAGATGAAGATGAATTAGATGATGTTGTAGACATTGAGGGAGAAGACAATCAGGTTGTTGGTGAAGATTCATTAGGTGATGATGATGATTCAGTAGTGAAGTCATCCCAAGATGTGGATACTTCAATCTTATTCACAAAGCCAATACCCAGTTATGGAGATGCTGCTTTTGGTAAGATAATAAGACAGTGGTGTCGATTCTGGCATGATTCCTTAAAGCTAAACTTAAATTTGACAACAGTGTATCTCTGTCATTCTCTATACAGATTGAAAAGGACAGGTTGATGTCAAATTTAGTTATAAATTTAGAGAATCCTGCCAGAATCGACCCCATTTTAATACTAAAATTAAATGTATATAACTAGAAAACAAATAACAAATAAATTAAATTTAGAATAATGAAAATGGAATGAAAAATATTTTTTTTGTTCAAGTTGGTGTGATCTATGAATACTTACATGTTTATTTAATAAAAAAATTATTGTACACACTTTTGCACTGTAGATCAGTGACCAGGTTTTTGCTTGGATCACTTTTGCAGCAGTGCTAGAGTGAAGCATTGTACCAGCTAGTCATGGTTCCAACTGCCTCAGACTTTCCTAGAAACAATGCAACATTTTATTTAGATACCATGTTCTATGTTAAAGGATATGGTTTCTGTACTTAGTCCTTAAGTGGACTGTTGTATGTGAGCCATTGCGGCCAATTACTCAAGACACTTATTCTGAGGCTTAAGCACGAACTTTTACAGCTCCATAATCATATCGCATCGCTAAATTTTCTATGAAAACTAAGCAAGAACAAACTGGCTCCTTCCATACAAAATTTGATAATGACTATACAATTATAGTAATGTCAAAATTGATGCTTGGGCGTCTTTTATATTTTGAAATAATACCATTTTAGTGAGATTCTTTTTAAAATAGTTATCACATTGCTCAGAATAGATAATTTGCTAATACATCAGTAATGTTTAGCTATTCAAATAATGAGCAATAATTAGTGTAATGAGAGTTACATAAAACAAAGTGTCATGTACATAATATATTTTTATTTACAGACTTACAAGCAGGCTATCCAGTGGAATTCCTGGTTGGTTTCATCAATAAAGGTGCTGAAGATTACGTAGTTGAATCTATGGAGGCCTCCTTTAGATACCCCATGGATTATACATACTATATTCAGAACTTTACTGCGTTGCCTTACAATCGTGAAGTTAAACCAAAACAGGAGGCGACCTTTGCATACTCTTTCATCCCCAATGAAGCATTTGCTGGTCGGCCCTTTGGCTTGAATGTCCAACTTAACTACAGAGATGCCAGTGGTAACTTCTATCAGGTAATTATTTTTAAATTCTCATGTCACAGTATTTGCAACTAATCTCCTTTGAAATTGCTTGACTAATTCTTATAAAGTTTTGTTTGCATATTTGGTAGGTCTGAAAATAGGATATCAACTTTTTTTTAATACCCCTAAGCGATAAGGGTGGTCAAATTCTTCTTTATGATTCGGCAATAAAAAATGCACAAATCCCTAAAATTTCACCCTTCTACCACTAAATATTATGGAATTATATAAGCTACAATAGGGATGATGACTAATTTTTTTTTATTTGTTTATCAGGTAGATGATCAAAAAGTATGGGACACATATTTTTCTTTTTTCACATAATATAATCATTGCAGAGATATATTGATTTGAAAAGTCGCATGATGTCACGTTTTGCTATACTTTTAAGTGAAAATTCACTAAAAAGTGACGTCACGAGCCCCTACTCCCAAACTTTGACGCGCTATAACTTTGTCATTTTTTGGTTGATTGCCCAAAGAAGAAAAACGTGTCCATTATTTTTTGATCATCTAACTGACAGACTAAATAGAATTTCGTTTACTGTACCCCATCATCACCCCTATTCACTAGAAAATTTGACATCATTGTAATTGCTTTCTACTACTTACATTACATTATGTTCACAAGATTTCAATTTAGCTTTGATTGTATATTCTAATTTTTCTGTTATTCCTCAGGAAGCTGTCTACAACCAGACAGTGAATATTGTTGAAGTGTCCGAAGGCCTTGATGGCGAAACTTTCTTCTTGTACGTTTTTCTGGGTGCGGCCTGCGTATTAGCTTTAGTTTTGGGTCAACAAGCGCTATCTTCGCTTGCTCGTCGCCGTTCTCCCCGTGCAGCTCCCAAACCACTAGAGACTGGCACTGCCAACAATGTAGATTATGACTGGTTACCGAAGGAAGTCGTGAATCAACTCAGTAAGTATTTATTTTTACTTGACCGAAAAAGTTATGGTACTCTATTTTTTTAATACTCAAAACTGTTATTATAAACACATGTGTTTATTATGATTTTAACAAATTTCGTGATTGAAAAAAGGAAACATATTTGTGGACAAAATTAACATAACACTTGTGTTACTTAATAATAAATTGAATACAAAGTGAGTTTCTGTGATTGGCTGAAGTACCATTTAAAAATTTATATTAAATTATATTGTGTAAAACGCTGTTAAAACTTGTTCATGATATATAAATAATAGGGTTCTTAAAGATTGGATCTTAATTTGAAGTGCCATCTGGGGGAAGGCAATACTACAGCTACTGCACTGTAGATCAGTGACCAGGTTTATGCTTGGATCACTTTTGCAGCAGTGCTATAGTCAAGCATTGTACCAGCTAGTCATGGTTTGAACTGCCTCAGACTTTCCTAGAAACAATGCAACATTTTACATTTTATTTGTTACAATATTCACTCTGAACCAAGCTGAGAATAATCTCTTTAGATTATATTACATTTCATAATATTTCATTAAGTGCAGTTGATGTTGACTCGATGAAAGTGCTTATAAGCTTGCAGTCTCTAATATTTCTATTAAACATCTTGACCGTTATTCGAAGCCTAATAATAAATATGAGATATGCCATCGTTTCCGTTTCCTCTTTTGTTCGTTTCTTTCCGTGTTTTCTGTCTCTTTCACTCCTTCCACCACCACCAGCAGTGGGGCGCCATGTTTTTGGCGCGCCATTTTTAGTCATTGACGTCGTTGTTTCCGTGCCGTCAACACGTGCCTGGTAAGTACTACCAAGTGTGTGTTAATTTACCTCTTTTACCAATTTATTTTACGAAATATTGCAATAATTATTTCCTATTCTGTAAAATTATTTTCATGAAAATCAATTTCAATTACAAGTAAACAAATAAAATACAAATCCAATGTTCATGGCGAAAACATTGGGCACCAACGCTGTAAGTCTACACTAAAAATAAAAAAGGAAGTTTTCATGTGGGTATTTTAGAAAACTGTCCGTTTGCTGGCGTTCTTTTAGTTCGAACGTTTAATACTTATAATTTTCTGTAACGATTATTGTTCGGATAGATATTGAGAGTAGCAAACTGTTTTAACGGCGTGTGCCGTTCGTTAAGGCGTATTTTAAATTTCCTTAAAATTTTCGCTCCTTAAGATAAGTGTATAGTGTATGTGCATACAATTTAGGCGTACTGGTTAATATTTATCGTTGAACTATGAGTGATAAATCTAGCAATGTGGTAACTGATAAAAATGCGAGAAAGAAGAAACAAGAAAGTCGTGATAGTGTTAGTTCCAGCAGTGCATCTGTTGCGAGGAGCAGTTCAACGAGTAGCTCTGATAGCATTCGTTCTCGTCGTGCTCGTAAACGCTCTCGCGAGCGCTCTACTAATCGCTCCCGCGAACGATCTCATGTTACAAAGCGTCGTCGAGAAAACCGTAAGTTAAATAAATTAATCACGGAAGTTTCATTTTTAAAAACGCAAATCCTAACTAATCGAAAAGATGCTAGTTATCAGTTAAAAGATAATTTTATTGATGATGACGTTAGCCGCCGTTTGTATGATAGTGATTGTGATGAGAATGACCAACATTCTAATTTATGCAGTGTTGAACCAGAATTTTCATTATCTATTGGTACGAAATTAAAAGAATCTGATATTCTTAAGACTCCTCAGTCGTATTTAGAAACTTTAAAAGCTATTCAACGACTAAATGATCCAGATTGGCGTAATGTGAGATATGCCGATGTGCAAAAATATTACTGTCACACACCGGGCTTTACTGAGCTAGATGTTAATGATGAAATTAAACGATATGACGCATCGCGAATGTTACTAAATACTGAAAAAGCTTTTTCCGCTATTACCTTTGCTCTTCTTAAACAAAAAGATCATCTCGAAAAAGAACTGCGAAGTTTTTTAGCTTGGGCTAAAGATTCTTCTGCCTTGACATATGAAGATATTAATCTTAAAATAGAGGAAATTTTCATTTCTGGTGATTTTTCAAAGATATCTAATGACGCTCTGCAACTGGCCTGCGGCCACAGAGCCGAGATAATTCAACAGCGGCGGGAAACAATTCTTGCCTCGATTAAAGATCCATTACACAAAACCATGTTCCGAAAAATCCCGCCATCCTGCAATAATCTTTTTGATTCTGAAATTTTTTCGTCTACCCTCGAACGAGCGGGTGGAGTTCGTAAGGTTTTCTGGCCGCGAGAAAAAGATCGCGCGTCTGCAACGCAGGCCGATCCAGGTCCTTCTACCTTAAGTAAACGCAATCCTGCACCGCAGGCAAATAGGGGTGAGAGTTACAAAACTAATCGGCATAATATTAAGGCTAACTCTAGCTATAATAATAAGCCGTTTCGCGGTAGAGGCGGAAAACAAGGGAGCAACCGTAGAGTTGACTCGTTCAATCACGCCCGCAAACGCTCCCCCTCGTCCCACCGGGACAGGAGAGGCAAATCACGGAAATACTGACTCACCGAGTCACTTCCGAGCCGGTCAATTGGAAATGTTTTACGAGAGATGGAGAAAATTAAAAGCACCCAATTACATTTTAAAAATTATATCAGGTTACCGTATCCCTTTTTTGAAAAAACCTCCTCTATATACACCGAATGTAAACAAAAATCGAGGGGTGACACCAGAATCAGAACAGATGAGCATAATTATAAACAAAATGAAAATGGAGAGAGTGTTGACAGTGGTACCAGCTTCTCCAAGTTTCATCTCGCGAATGTTTGTAGTGCCGAAGGAAGATGGGACCATGAATAAATGATTTGATTGATTGATTGATTGATTGATTGATTGATGCGACCGATTTTCAATCTACAAACACTCAACAGTTACGTTATCACTACTCCGTTCAAACTAATCAACGTCCAAAAGATACCCGACTTCTTGCAGCAGAACGACCTGATGGTGAAGATAGACCTCTCCCAGGCATACTTCCATTTGTCAGTTTCCCAGTCACACAGGCGCTTTCTACGCCTCATTTACAAGCAGGAATTGCTGCAAATGAACTGCCTTCCCTTCGGGTTGAGTTCAGCACCAAAAACCTTTGCATCGCTGAGCAATTGGATAGCTCAAATTCTTCGTCAAAGAGGAATACGCATCGTGGTATACCTAGACGATTATTTACTTGTAAACCAAGATGCTCGATTACTGCAAGAGCAAGTAGCACAAACGTTGAACCTTCTGGAGTACTTAGGGTGGACAGTCAATTACTGCAAATCAGTCCTCATACCGTGCAGGCAAATAGAATACCTAGGAATACTGTGGAAAACTTGGGAGAACAAAAAAGGACTCCCAGAAAAGAAACGCAGGAAGCTCACAGAAGTTATAACCAACATTCTCGATGCCGAGACGATCACTCTGAAAAAATTACAAATTATTGTGGGGATGCTGAGTTTTGCCAGTTTTGCAGTACCTCGAGGGAGAATCCATTATCGTCAATTACAAAAGCTGTCCATCAAAAACCTAAAAAATCCGGTGGATTCTCTATTGGCATTACCGGGCTCTGTCATACACGAGTTGCAGTGGTGGATGAATCACCTCGGGGATCACTCTCCGATTCATATACTCCCACCAACACAGTACATTGTAACCGATGCTTCGGATTGTGCTTGGGGTGCACAGATAAACAACAAGTTTATCTCAGGAACCTGGTTACCAGAGGAACAGAAATTACACTGCAATCACAAGGAGCTTTTGGCCATATACAAGGTCTTAGAAGAACAAGGTCAGAACCTGCGATACTCTTCGGTTCACTTGCAAAGCGACAGCAAGACTGCGGTTTCATACCTTCGAAACGAAGGCGGGACCAGGTCCCAGAATCTCCTCGACTTAACGTTCAACATTATATGTTTGCTAGACTCTCTTCACATCAATCTGATTGTGCATTACATACCGGGAGTATACAATGTCGAGGCAGATCGCCTATCACGCCTCCAAGCAAACCCGGAGTGGCATCTATTACCACAAGCAACGAATCCAGTTTTTTCCAAATGGGGCACACCCGAAGTAGACTTATTTGCCTCCCGGATATCGAGAGTTGTACCCCGATATTGCACTCTGAATTGTCAAGACGTTCAAGCAGAATTTTACGACGCCCTGTCGCGAGTATGGAACTATCACCTAGCATGGGTGTTTCCTCCACCCTTTTTAATGCCAAGGATTCTACAGCACTTGAACCAATGTCGAGGCACATTTCTAATAGTAGCCCCACGATGGGAGCGGGTATATTGGAGGCCGGACCTAAAATCCAGGGCAATAGCACCTCCGTGGACCATCAAGAACCTTCCACAAGTTCTAGTGGACACGTCAACCGGATTAGCCCCTCAGAAAGTAGCAGACATGTGTCTGGAAGTTTGGAAATGTGGGGGTGGAATGAACTTCTAGCACAGTGGTCTGATAGAGAGAAATCCCTTCTTATGAGTAGCTGGAGACCCTCAACATTAAAATCTTACAAACCGGCTTGGACGCGTTGGATGAATTGGACGCAGTTACATAATATTCCTACCTACAAGCCTAGTGCATCAGACTTTTCCAGATTTTTAGCTTACTTGCACTTCGATGAAGGATTATCATATAATACTATTTTGTCTTATAAATCAGCCGTGTCGACGTTGTGCAATCCTGAATCTACTGAGCAAATAAGTAGTCACGCACTAGTGAAACGTATTTTAAAATCAATTGCTATTGCTAAGCCAAAAGCAAGCATAATCTGTAAGCCTCCGATTTGGAACATTGAATTAGTAATTAATCGCATGGCACAGTTAAATTCGGATACAAATAGTTTGTATGAAATTTCAAAATGTACAGCTACTATATTATTACTCTGTTCGGGTCGTCGTGTGCATGACCTAACTCTACTTCGTGTTAACTGTTCTGATTGCGTCGTTTCTAATGATACTATCAGTTTAACACCGGCCTTTGGATCTAAAACTGATTCTGCTGATTATCGACAATCAGGTTGGTTATTAAAACGAAATAAAGATAGCGCTAGTTTGGATCCTGTTCACTGGATAAAACGTATCATCGAGGTTGGTCGAGAAAGAAGACACAATGCTAACTGTGAAAATTTATTTGTGTCGACGTGTGGCCCGCCTAAGCCCGCTACGAGAACCATTATTGCGGGCTGGGTTAAGAATATGCTGAAAGAATCGGGTATTGATGATTCAGCTGGCAGTTTTAGAGCTGCAGTTGCGTCAAAAAGTTGGCTGGACAATTCGCCTCTTGAGGACATTTTATCTAAAGGTAATTGGAGATCAGCAAAAACCTTTCAACGATTCTATTGCCGAAAAGTTACTACTTCCAACTCAAATTCAGAGAAATCTTTGACGCACTTATTTTCTTCAATTGATTAGATTTATTCAATGTTTAACTAATTCAAGTGATAACTAATTTTTGATTAAACTTTAATTAACAAACATTCGGACCCATTGTTGTTATGTTTTTCTTATTAGTCAACATTATAAATAGTGATTATACTACTTGATTACACAAGCTCTAGTTTTACTGAATTCCGTCTTCAACCTTGCCACTAACTTATTACTGATAATTCTGACAGAATAATCTAAGTCAGCGTGCCCTGCTTATTACAGTAGTCACATTGACATCGTCCACCACCACCAGGCGATATCAAACACCTCTCATATTTATTATTAGGCTTCGAATAACGGTCAAGATGTTTAATAGAAACGTTTTACCTGAAAATAAAACGGATATTAAACATACTTACCTTATTCGAAGCCTAATACGTATAGTTCTGCCTGGTGGCCAACAAACGACGTAATGACTAAAAATGGCGCGCCAAAAACATGGCGCCCCACTGCTGGTGGTGGTGGAAGGAGTGAAAGAGACAGAAAACACGGAAAGAAACGAACAAAAGAGGAAACGGAAACGATGGCATATCTCATATTTATTATTAGGCTTCGAATAAGGTAAGTATGTTTAATATCCGTTTTATTTTCAGGTAAAACGTTTCTATTGAATTCCTCATTTTCAAGTTCGGTTCAGTATTGTAAACAAACATCGTTTAACACAGTGGTTCTTAACCAATTGATCTTTAATTTTTTTTTAATGGTCCATTTTCACTAAAAGCTGTTTTGTGTGTTCTTACACTGATTTAACAAATACGGTACAATGCTGAACCCATTTACAGACACACAATGACAGTATTCTTATCTAACGTTTACTAAAAACCTTATAATGCCTTTATGTCGCATGGAGTCGAGAAAACCAGGGATTTCACGAAATCCCTAGGAATATCACGAAATCATGGTTGACGTTCTTGTTAATTACGTCTTCTTACTTCCCCCATCCTTGTCATGCTGCCATTTCACTTGGCTATTCGTATTTGCTATTTGTAAACTTGACGACAGTCTGTCCTTATCATGCTTTTAACGTGGACTGAATTGATGCTGTCACATGTTTGCTAAAGAGAAAACGGAGACAACATTAGGTTTAAACCAAGACTAATTTCAGTTGTTCAAAAATAAGTTCAAAAGGATTGAGATAGAATTTCAAATATTTAAAGATAATAGTTCAAAAGTATTACATTATGAAATATGACGTCACAAAGGTGTCACACTATGTCACATGTCTTCGACGGGTCCCTCCCCCGTAACGTGTGACGTACTTTATGAATGACCCTGAAAATGTAATAAACAAGATTATTCAACATCTACTGTGATTGTATTCCTAAGGGTTTCGTGAAATCCCTGGGTTCCTCATTTCTCTACAACATTTAAAGCTATTGAACATGCGAATAAATTCACACTGTATTTGTAATATAAATATACATAATTACTATAATAGATATATTTGAATGAGTAAACAACCAAAAAAAATATTTATGAATAAATTTTTTGTTACAGAAAAATCTCCCAAAACGCCCAAACAATCGCCGCGCATGAGAAAGGCAAAGAGATCCGCGGGCGATGACTAAACTATTTTTAAGTTCTGTGAACACCAGCACAAGTCGGGTGCTTGGCGTTAGTGTGCTTGAGCCGTGAGTGAAATAAGAATCGAACGAATCCAACATGAGTATTACTTTCATAATTTTTGGCCTTTCTTTATAAAATATTTATAGAACTTATGCTTAATACTGGTCATAAATCGATTATCTCACTGTGCTTTGTTTTTTTTTTTAATTTGATTTTGATGTAGGAAGATTTTATTCTTATTTCACTCATTTTGTGTACGAATTGTGTGATTCGTAGTTGCTAAGTGAGTAATGAGAGTAAATTATGGAACAAACAGTGTGCAGAAGTTTTCAACAATGTGTGGAGGAGACATAATTTAATAAAATGTTACTTTTTAGTGATTTGTTTTATTTAAATAATTTACTTCTATGTTCTATAAATTATACATTAATATTATACTAGTATAGATTATACTAATTTATTTTATAAAGAGATAGTGAGAACACAGTATAGTGCGATTCAACTAAGAATATGACCGACTGGGCCCCATATTGTGACGTCATAGCTGTCAATTCAAACCAAAAGTGAGCAAAAAAACGATTTTATTTCATAAAACTTATTTACTCAGATTAAGTGGGAAAAACATCAGATTTTCTTATTAAAATTTGTTTATTAAGATTGAGAGAAAAACAACCAATTTTTGATAATATTTATTTATCAAGACTGAGAAAAAACATTAATCAGAATGTAGCTCTTCAATTCCGCTCATCTCTGCAGTACCGGCGGAGTAGTTATGAATAAATGCTAAATGATGTAATGGAAGGTGACTTCAGAAGTATCTCCGAAGTCATATTTCAACTTGACGACTCTGTATATAACTAAACAGGGAGAAAAAAAAACAGCCCTTGCTTCTTGCCGGTTCTTCTCAGTACAAGGTCTTTTTTTGCAAACCGTCCTCTTGAAGCGATATTTGACAGATGGGGGTGAGATTGGCTTTCCTATTCTTATTTGAATTGCATTATATTTAGATACGCTCAAGCTTAGATTAAAACAAAAAGGGAAGATAGGGCACTCTCGGCTCAAAAGTGATCCGCTTAAATTGTGGTGCACGACTACAATTGGACATTCAAACACGCTGCATGTGCAAATCAATATAACAATATTGCGTATGTTCTGTCATATAAAGATAAAACAATGCCTTCGATGCTTTTATAAAGAACACAAATAGTTCAAAATCAAATGCCTCGGCAATACGGTTTTCGTGAAACGGTAAAAACATTTTTTTCTAAAAAATCACGGTTTGTCGTGAATGTTATTTACGTAAACGCCATATTGTTAACAAGAAAAGGACAACAATACAGCTCCGCCGTACGGACTCGGAAGCGGACTCGCCGTTTCACTCTCACTGCGTACAGTTCTGTTTCGCTTACTCGATTGAATGTTTATTTACAGAAGTGTGCATGTGTGAGAGTTGCTTATGTAGTTGAGTCGGAGCAAATTTTATTTGATGCTGGTATGCGCGTACCATATTGTATCTTCCCTTTTTGTTATAATCTAAGTCTAAAGGAAATTTAACTTAAAAATTTCGGCATCAAACTGGATCATTGACGTATAAAAACAAGTAGACTCACAATCGCGCTCAAAAAGTGTCCGAGGCAAAATTACGCACATACGTCTATTGTGTGTAACTATAATTTTTAAACACACTTGAAATTGAAGTCGTGTCATTTTGAATAAGAATCTGTACAAGTTGATGTCAGCGCCGCTCGGACTTTTTTTGGTGCACGTTTGGCAGGCGATTGGGAGTCTAATTGATTTTACCACAATAGACTGGATTCGAACTATCGAAGAAGAAGGGGTTCTTCATTAATACGGGTGAGAATGCACTGACCACTCACTATGTGGTAATCGTTTAATTTGCTCTTTCCTAAAATGTCTGATATTTGAAAAAGTATCTCATTTGATTCATCTTAGTTGCTTCCAATGCGTTGTTTTCACTAAACATGGACTAGTGATTGGTCATTGTTACCAAAAAACAGCCGAGAGGCACACTTTGGAGGCCCATTTTTCACTGTCTTAAAGGGTGACTATACTGTATTATCAAATAGGAATACCTTAATTTACGAGGCTGCGTTCATAACTTTAGAGAACGCAACTAGGGTAAAAAAATGCTCTGTTTGGATATGTTGAACGGCCAGTTGTGTCATAGCGCGGGAGTTGTTGTGAACTTTTCAATCAAACACTCTACTTCTACTACTTCAACTTTTCAACCTAACGAAAGTACTAGTTTTTATGCTCTAAAAATATCTAACCTATCTAGTTGAGTAAAGATTTGTTACGCTCTGTATGCATCTTCTTGTTGCAGGTAGCTTTAAATCATCCAAACGCTGGTGCTTAATTTTACGTCTTCGGGTATTTTAAACTATAAACAATTTTTTAGCATAAATACCTAAATATATATAAAATATGTTTATCTTTACAAATATCGATATTTTGGGTTTGTTTTTCAATATTTCCATGTATAAATAATTCATGGACAGAACATTGATAGAAATATCGATATAATCGATTTTTCAATATATCGTTGCAATACAACCCTACACCATCTGTCAAATTCTTTTTAGCTCACGCCATTTCAAACACACGTGTGATTCTCGGGTTTAGCTCGATTTTATCAAGTAAAAATGGATAAGCCCAACGTTCTTGCTCGTGTGGTCAAGGTCCTGGGTCGTACTGGCTCTCAGGGGCAGTGTACCCAAGTGAAAGTTGAGTTTATTGGAGAAACCAGCCGTCAAATCATCAGGAACGTGAAAGGACCAGTGCGTGATGGTGACATTCTCACACTCCTCGAGTCTGAACGTGAAGCCAGAAGACTGCGATAAACAGTAATAACATATTCTTTCATATAATCAAAATATAATAATAATTTGGCTTGTATAAAGCTAGTAATTTTTTAGGTTATTTGTCACTTCATGAGGCTACTTTGTTTCATTCGCGTGTTAATAAAACAAATCTAAGCTTTTCTGGTGAAACTCATAAAGGGTTAATAGGTGATTTTGGTCTGTAGTTTTTATTCTAGCCAATGGTTTTAAATTGGTTGACGAGTTCGCGAAGCGTCGTGAACGTCGGTTTTTTTTTAGTTTATTTCTAATGTTTCTTTAAATTTCTTAAGCCTCGATGACACGGGGCGAGTTTAAAAGCTACAAGCCAGCGAGTTCGCTAGTAGCTTGTAAGCTCGCCCCGCTCCCCCGAGCTCATCGAGTAGCAGATGGTAAAAAAGCTGATGACATGGGGCGAGTTGCTAGCAGACTCGCTGCCTTGTAGCTTGTAAACTTGCCCCGTGTCATCGAGGCTTTATTGCTACACTGCTATTATGACCTGTTTAAACAATTCATTTCTTGCACAGTCGATCAGTGCCGAAGTCTCTACTTGGTACACTTTTGCAGCTGTGCTAGATTGATGCATAGTACCAGCTAGTCATAGCATAATGTTGCTTTGGGCTTTCCTAGAAACTATGCAACATTTTTTTATAATATCATACATCGCTTGTCAGACTCACGACTTTCATTATAACTCATAAATATATTTTTTTGTTTCAGATCACTGCTAGGTCTACTTTAGGTTAAGACACTTTTATGTAATACCAATATTATCCGAGTGATTATGATAAACATCTCTTAAGAAACCGTCAAAGATGACCATCACTATGTAACCAGCTTGTGAATATATATTTAACATTAAAAAATATGTTTCATTGTTTTCTCAACAAGTTTTCCAAATTATCTTTCTCTCCTACTTTAATATTTTATAAAAAATAATTCAGAAAATGATATTTTTTCTTTGGACATGACATATAAATGTAGAAACATTAATATTATAAAGTATCTTTACCAGTTACATATAGTTGTTGCGACTTCAAGACCTCCTATGTGTCATTTTTGTCGAAATACCTTTTTTATATGGGTTTATTTCAAATTTTGGCGCTACATTGAAAGCAAAAACTCTTGTGTGAATAAGTCTTTTCAATTTCTATTTATTTACTTTATTCAATATATCCTAAGTGCTTGCTCAAGTAAAGTTGGCATTTAAAATATCTTATGTGTAAAAGTGCTAGATAGGTAAAAATTGTTAGTAGACAAAGTTTCAAAATAACTAACCAATAGAAGCACTGGAATGAGAGGGATGCATAGATCGCGTGATTTTTTTCCGATTGTAGGTGTTAGATGGGGGTAGTAATATAAAAATTACGTTAGCATCAACTGGTTCTCGCTCTGTGGTTATAAAAGTCGATGTGCAAAGTGTATTGCTTGCTCCAAGGCTATTGGCAAGTGCCCTGTTCTATAAATAAAAGTTACAATGTCATAATTTCACTGTTAATGATGTTTTATCTTAAAATGTATCAATTTACTGCTGGCACAAAGCAGACGGTAATGTAACTGCTAATGAATTTACATCTTGCTTAATAGACCATTGTCAAAATTTACCAACTACGATTGAGTGTATTATTATTTTTATGTTTGTAGAACAGAAACCAAATTTTGTCGACTAACCTGAGTGTTTTGGCACAACGAAGGCAATTGAATATCGAACAACTCTATTAAGAGAAAGGGCATCAATGATCTGCTCCTTACTCCCGGTATCTTTGGGTATGCAGACGACAGCACAGTCTCGGAGAGATACCTGCCTGATGTGAAGTCTGATGCAGATGTCCGATCATTAAGGGAGGCGATGATGGAGGGAGTGATGCAACCCTGGAAGCTGTTTCCCTCTGGGGTGAAGCCAACTTGGTTGGATTCAATCCCTCTAAAACACAGGTTTCTCTCTTTTCGGCGTAACGAAGTCCATTCCATCTGACTCCGACTTTCCGAAACATCTCCGTGCCGGTTACAGACCATCTCGAGCTCTTAGGTCTCGACATCTCATTCAGCCTCAATTTCGGTCGCTACATCGAATCCATTGCTAAAACCGCTGCCAATTAACTTGGAATACTTTCTAAGGTCAGGCGGTATTTTACATCTGAGCAGCTCCTTAACCTTTACCGAGACCAAGTTCGCTCCTGCTTGGAGTACTGTTGTTACCTTTGGAATAGATCTGCTCGGTTATCAGCTGGATGCACTGGACTCGGTGGAACACCGTGCGAAGAGACTCATAGGCGATGACGCTCTCGTTGAGGCTAATCTCCAGAGCCTTGACCACCGAAAACGTGTAGCTTGCCTCTCGGTGTTTTATCGGTTACATTTCGGAGAGTGTGCAGAGGTATTACACAATTTGATTCTCCCTTCTCCCTTCCACCACCGGACGACCAGGCGCGGCGAGGGCTTTCACCCTTATGTTGTCCAAGTTCCTCCCATTCGCACGAAGCGATTTACTTCAGCTTTCATTATGCGAACGGCTA